CCGCACAGCTGCCTCCAGTTCAACTAATAAACTGTAGGACTTGCTCCTGATTGGAGGAGAGCAGCGTACTCGGCGTGTGGGCAGCCGAGTTGGGATTGGCGGAGGAGGACTATAAAGGAGGAGAGAGACGGCATGCACCGGGAACATCTATGGGGAACATCTAAGGGAACCCGTGCAGCCCCCGAGAAAGCCGGCCGGCGGCGTGCCGCTCCCCTGCGGAAGTGGGGAATGCGGCCAGGGGGAACTGCCCTTCCACGGAGGTGGAAGGGATAGTAGCCAACCCGGGAAGAACCAGCAGCAAACCCGGGGAGGGCCGAGCAGACGAAAGAACAGCGCAGGGTCTTGTGTCGTTCCCCCACGAAGACGGGGAGCGACATGGGAGCTTCCTCCCACCTCTCAAATAACTAAATATTTTTAAAAAGAAGTTATCCTCCCCTTAATCCTCTTTTTTCAAATTATTCTGACTATCCTTTGCCATTTTATCATTCACATATATGAGTCAATTTGTTAATTTTTATAACAAACTTGTGTCTTTGTTTGCATTCTCTGAAAGGACAGCCTGACAGAAGGTTTCTTGGAAGAGAGTTTTTTATTTTTCAAAAAAAATGAGCAAAGCAGCAACCAAGGTAGGGCAGGGGAGGGGTCCCCACTGCAGACAAGAGAAGGGACAAAGGCAGTGTCACTGGCCAGCATACAAGGAAGTTTAGATAGGGGACAAGGCATCAATATTAACCACTGTGGTGTGTAAAATTTTCTTTTTAAGAATATCTAGATATTCAAACCATGTAGATTTTGCACACTGTGGTCACTGTCATGGGAGAACAAGACAGAATTAGGGATGGGTAGGTAAAAAGGACTAAAAGGATTTGTACTGGATGGTTGAATGGTGAAATTCTATTAAGGCACATGTCTATACCTGGGATTCAATAAAAGATCAATATAAATAAACACACAGTCCTAATCAATAAATACGCACTCTCATCCCCAAACACACACTTATCCTTTAAAAACATTGACTCACTAACACAGAAGAGGCCTTGTGAACAGCTGAGGTCTGTAATTTAGGTGATTTTAGTTGAGCTTTTTCAACTCCCTTCTAATGAGTCAGTGTTCAGCCACTGTTCAGCGGTAGCTTTTAATTGCAAACTTTGAGACACTCTAAATTATGGGTAGGTGAAGCCAAATGCACTAAAATCCAGTAAGTGCTGATGGGCTTGATTTCCCCCACCCCCCAGAGTGGACTTATTTTCAACCTCCGCTCTCACATGCATTTGCATCACCAAAAAGAATAATTTCACGTTCTAATTTATTTATGCTCAATGCCACAGGCACATTTTTGTTACGACTTCCTTGATAGTCATGCTGTCTCAGGAGTAGTATTTTTCTATGCCATCCATTTTGCAAAGAGAATAAAATTTATGTTCATGGTTGATCCATTTCGCCTTATTTCCTGATCATCCAAAAGCATTGTTACATTACCCCAGATAAACTCTGGGTCGTGAACCAAGGTTCAATCAAGAGAATACGACTGACTCATGCAGAATACATTCCCCACTGCAAGTTTCAAATTAGAAATCAATAACATCCAAACACACAGAAAATCCCCCAATATTTGCCAAGTTAGTAATAACCTTTTAAATAACCCAGTCCAGAAGACAATCTAAACGTATTTCAAACTGAGGAATGATGAAAACATAAAACATCTAAATGTGTGGGTTGTAGCTAGAGAAGTTCTTTGAAGGAATTAAACGCCTTCAAACAATTTTATCAGAAGTAATACATTAACAAAGAAGGAAGAACTGAAGCCACTTGTCTTTGCTTTCACCTTAAGAAGAAGGCACTGTGACACAGCAGGTAAAGCCACCACCTGCAGTTCCGGTTCTAGTCCCAGCTGCTCTGCTTCCCATCCAGGTCCCTACTAATGCCTCTGGGAAAGCGGTAAAGGATGGCCCAAGTCCTGTGGGCCCCTGCACCCACGTGCGAGACCTGGAAGAAGCTCTTGGCTCCTGACTTCTAATCAGTCCAGCTCCAGCTGTTGGGGCCTTTTGGAGAGTGAACCAGTGGATGGAAGACAGACCTCTCTCTCTCTGCCTCTGCATCTCTAACTCTGCCTTTCAAATAAATAAATCTTAAAAGGGGGGGGCACTGTGGCTCAGTGACGAAGATGCTGCTTGAGACACCCACACCCATAGTCACAGTGCCTGGGTTCAAGTCCATGTTTTGCTTCCGACTACCTGTTCCTGCTAATGTGCATCCTGGGAGGCAGCAGTTGAAGGCTGAAGTGCTTGGTCCCCTGCCACCCACACAGGAAGCCTGGATGGAGGTCTGGGCTCCTGGCTTTGTCTTGACCCAGTCCAGGCTGTTGCAAGCATTTAGGGAGTAAACCAGTGTCTCTCTTTCTCACTCACTCTCGCTCTTTCAACTAAATAAAAATTTCATTAAAAAATTTCAAAGAATGTTTTAAAATCCACATATCTATTGAAAATTTGATTCATGGTAATAAAGTGCTTTTTTTTGTGGAAGCACACAGAAAATTCCAGGCCCAGATGAATTCATAACAATTCATTGAACTTTAACAGAGGAAAACACAGATCCTACACAATCCTTCCAGAATTAAAAAGAAGGATTCTACACAAACATTTTAAGAATAAGAAAAGGGAACTATTCCTAACATAGTTTATGAAACAGACAAAATGCTGATATGATCTCATAAAGGTTTTTTTAAGAGAAAAACACTCACAAATCAATACCCCTCATGAACATGGAAATAAAACCCTTAATAAAATATTACTGAATATTTCTCAGCAATGTATAAAAAGGATGATAAATCATGACCAAATACAATTTATCTCAGGAATCAAGATTACATTACTATTTGAATACCGGGCATTTGGGAGCCACATCCTGGCACAGTGGATTAAGCCACCACCTGTGATGCCAGCATCTCATACAGGCATAGGTTTGAGTCCCTGCTCCTCCACTTCTGATGCAGCTCTCTGCTAATGGGCCTGGGCAAGTAGCAAAAATGGTCCAAATTCTTGGGTCCCTACCATCCATGTGGGAGACCAGGATGCATTCTAGGCTCTTAACTTTAGCCCCAGCCTTCACAACTATTTGGAGAGTGAACCAGGGGATGGAACATCTTTGTCTCTCCCTTTGTCCTTTTCCCTCTCTTTGCCTCTGTAATGCTGCTTCCTAAATAAATAAATTGTTCTTAAAAATCAAGCAAGGTAACACCCCACATCAACAGAATGAAAGATAAAAGCATCATCTTGGTTAAAGCAGAAAGCATTTGATTAACCTTACAACCTCTTTATGCCAATAGTCTCATGGTTCTCAGTTTCCGGGGAAACACAAGAAAAATCCCTTATTCTGTAAAAGGACATTTGTAAAACACAGAAACAAAAACACTATAGTTAACATCATGCTTAATGGCGAAATAGTGAAGGCTTTTCCACTAACAGCAAGAAGAAGGTAAACCTATCTACTCTCCTAATTTGTAATGAACAGTGTATTAGTGAAAAAAAGAGGGCTTGAGGAGAAGGAAGGGAGAGAAAACATGAACCTGTTAAGTGTTACAGTTTGTTGATAAGGATTGTGTATGTAGAAACCCTGATGGAATCTGCCAAAAATTATCAGAAATAAAATACATATTTAGTAGGTTCACAGGAGGCAATGCTAATCTACAGGAACCAAGTATATTTCCAACGTTAACAAGGAAGAACTGGCAAGTGAAATGCAGAAAACAATAATGCTATCCACAATCTACCAGAAAATGCCTAAGATGAACAAATAATATGCAAGACTTATGCATTGAAAACCACAAAAATATTCCATTTAGTGGCTGTTATAGGAATTACAGAAAACATCTTCCAAAGGAAAAGTTCATATTATACTACTTTACCATGAGTATAAGAACCTTGCCACGGGAGTTTCATTTGTCCTCGTACTTCTCACTGTATTACTGCATGAGAAGTTGCAACTCTTATAGAAATTCAGAGAAGAAAAATTACATAGGCTTTTATATTTCCCCTATGTTGTATTACTTCCTGGGCTTTTCATTTTTTCCTGTTAATCTGAATCTCCATGTGTTGCCAATTCCTTGCAGTCAGAAGCAAAATCTTTAGCTTTTTGTAGAAAAGAAATGTGGAGACAGATCCTCTCAATTTGTTTCCCCTAAAATACTGTTATACCCTTCTTATTTTGAAGAATAGCTTCTCTGGATATCATTGTGTGTGCACATGTGTAGACACGTGTGCGTATGTACATGTAGAAACACACGTGCGTGTTTCCCAGCACTTCTTTAGAGATGATATTTTACCATCTTACAGCCTCTTTGCAGGCAAGAAATATGAAGGGGTATTGACAACCGTTAGCATTTTGGCGGCTTTAAACATTCTCTTGGTGCATTGTTTTGACAGATATTTTTATTTATTTACTTATTTTTATTAATGTATTTATTTTTTTGACAGGCAGAGGTAGACAGTGAGAGAGAGAGAAAGCATGTTTTTTTTTTGACAGAGATTTTTTAAACACATGGTAGACACTTTGCCACTTTCCCTGTTTCATGTATTTCCTCTGAATAAAGACCTTCATTGATACAACTGGAATGCAATCCTTCCATCCAAAATTTATGATGGTTTCACAGCAAATTCTAATAGCAGTTCGATACTGAAAAGCAATTATTTGAGCCGTGACTTCTGCCTCCCTGGGTCTGTCTTGAAAGGAAGTTGAATCCAGGAGCCAGAGCCAGCAATCAAAACTAGATACCGTGACGTGGGATGTGGGCATCTGAGCCACTAGGCTAACTGCCAGTTTCCAGCATCTGGACCTTGAGGGACCAAAATCCCAGAGAACAGCAGGTCACAGTAAAACACAAGCAGACCAGATGCCAGTTTTCCTACTACAACATTAGGTTAAAAAGACTAAGAGGTAGAGGGGAAGAAAGAATGGGAAAGAGGAGTGCAGGTTTTGGTCATTTTAGTAAGAGGCCAACTTACGGTTCTGAGATTCAGCCATCAGGAGGCGTTGGTAAACGTCGCTGATTTTCACTTGGGATCCCTGGAGGTCCACAGCCTAGGGGTGGAGACGAAGCCAGACTCTTCTAAGAAAGGAAATGCAGACTCCAGCCAGGGCCACCCCGAAAGATTGAGTTATGACCCTCATGCTATTCGCCTGGTCTATGATAGAGTGAATTATCTCTGGGCAATGAGATTATCATTCTGAGCCTTCATGATTTTTTAATACAACGTCCAACTTTCAATAAGATATTACCAGGCATGAAAATGAAATAACCTCGCTGGTATCTAGTCCACCACATTAAGGAGCTTGTAGGTCATCAGTACATACACATAACAAGTAAAAACCACTGCACAAACTCAAAACAAAAACATAAACTCTTCCTAGCCTGGTCGGAGAAAGGAGCTCACAGGGTAGAACACACCGAACAAAATTCTAGACAAACCAGCAGGAGCAGAGAATCCCAACCCCCATTAGGGGCTCTGGAGAGGAGCAGGACAGGAAAAGCCTCCTCACTCTTCATGAGCTTACTTCCCAGAGTTCTACAGATGTGGGCCATGAACACATTAATGATTTTGAAGATTTATTTATTTACTTATTTGAAAGTCGTGGTTAGAGAGGGAGAGACAGAGAAAGGTCTTCCACCTGCTGATTCACTCCCCAGGTGGCCAGAATGTCCAGGCCAGGGCCAAGGGCGAAGCCAGGAGCCTCGAACACCATCCCGGGGTCTCATGTGGGTGCAGCGGCCCAGGTACCGGGGCCAGCCTCCGCTGCTTTCCCAGGGGCACTAGCAGGGAGCTGGATAGGAAGTGGAGCAGCCGAGAATCCAAACAAAACCCAGAATATATTAATTTTGGTGCAGGCTCTTGTCTTCTTCCAAGACAGAAACACAAAATGCAGACCGGCCCCACGTGCAAATAGGAAGGAAGCACCCAGGAAACACAGGCATTCAGGCCCGAGTCTGCGCTGCCCCACACAGAGAAATGCTCAACAAGAGTGGGCCGAAGAACTGCCCATGGAAAAGAGAAAGAAACGAAAATGGTACCTCCGGTTGGGATGGTCCGTGCATGCGTCAGAGATAATGAGAGCGGGAAAGCACCAAGGTGGAGGGCTCTGCGCAGGGAAAAGCACGCACAAGCGGTCCCTGGCTCCGGGCGTGCAGTGCTCCGCAGAGAAAGAGAGAAAACAGCAGCCTTCACCCGCGCTGGAGGTGCAGCTCCTTCCGGCTGGTGCGCCCTCCGAGGGGCTCCAGGAACCTGTTGGGGTGCAAGCACACATCCAGGATCCGGATGTGACAGGTGCATTCTGGGAAGGCGGAAGTCATCACACTGACAGTTAAAGACACAGCCTTCCATTGCAGGAGAGGAAGAGTTCCAGGCCCCTAACCCTGACTAGTGACACCCTCTCACTGCCGTGTTCTCCAAGTGAGTCTTGGAGAAAACTCCCCAAATGGTTCTGGCAGTGGGAGGGGGAAAGTAACCGTTTCAAACCCCACAGAGCATTTTGTTCTTTGCAAATCCCAAGCTATTGTGGGTTGTTTTTTCCCCCTCAGAGCCTAACTCACCTGGGGTAAAGGAAATATCCAGTTCTAGCTCACCTCTCGCCATATATATTTTTAAAATTACATATGTACTCAAGAGGCAGAGTTAGAGAGACAGAGAGAGAGGTCTTCCATTCACTGGTTCACTCCCCACATGGCCGCAATGGCCGGAGCTGGGCCAGGCTGAAGCCAGGAGCCAGGAGGTCCTTCTGGGTCTCCCACGTCGGTGCAGGCGACTTGGGCCACCTTCCACTGCTTTCCCAGGCCATCAGCAGGCCAAGAACCCCATTTCCTTACTCTTAGCGCTGTGCACCCCACTCTGACACCCAAACTCTATGTTGGCCCAAGTTGAAGCAGGGCCTGGGTTTGGCTTCCTGGGAAAATGTCAAGTCATCATGAGCCTTTCAGTGGAGGTCTCAGAGCCCTGCTGGGTGCCAAGAGGAAGGATCACCCTTCTACTGGTCAGGGCACACCAGGAGATAACCTTGTCTGTGATGTGGGCAGAGAAGTGCTTCTTCTTGGTGATGTCCCTAAGGAAAAAGGCTTGGCCCAATACCCTCATTTATCCCATCCACACACACTCAAAGTGAATTGTGGTGTCCTCGGGCCCTTTCTCATACCCAGAAGCAGACATTAGCAACTCAGAAGAGCTGACTTCAAGAAGACTCAATACCCGCCGATGGCTTGAGTCCTTCCCCAAATGGAGGCCTCAAAAGTGTTCTCACTACAAGTGGCCCCATCCTCCCTGCTGCCTGTCTCCATCTGGATCTCAACTTTATTTTCATTTTCTTCAGTCTCCCTTAGAGACTTAGCCTTGTTCAGCAGCCCCCGGCTCCTCTCAATATTTTTATTTTTATTTATTTATTTATTTATTTATTTATTTTTTGACAGGCAGAGTAGATAGTGAGAGAGAGAGACAGAGAGAAAGGTCTTCTTTATGCTGTTGGTTCACCCTCCAATGGCTGCCACGGCTGGTGTGCTGTGGCCGGTGCACCGCGCTGATACGAAGGCAGGAGCCAGGTGTTTCTCCTGGTCTCCCATGGGGTTCAGGGCCCAAGTACTTGAGCCATCCCCCACTGCACTCCCTGGCCACAGCAGAGAGCTAGCCTGGAAGAGGGGCAACCGGGAAAGAATCCAGCACCTCAACAGGGACTAAACCTGGTGTGCCAGCGCTGCTAGGTGGAGGATTAGCCTAGTGAGCCGCGGCACCAGCCTACAATATTAGTTTTATTTATGTTTCTTGGAAAGACAGGGAGACAGAGAGAGAGAAAGAGCGATCTTCCATCTGCTGGTTCACTCCCCAAATAGGTACAACAGGCATATAACAGGCTGGGCCAAAGCCAGGAACCTGGAACTCCATCTGGGTCTCCAGGTGGGTGACAGGGATCCAAGTACTTGAGCCATCACCTGTGGCCTCCAAAAATGGGCATTAACCAGAAACTGGATCAGAAGCAGATATGGATAGATATGGGATGCAGACATCTCAAGTAGCTACTTTAACTGCTGTACCAAACGCTTGTCCCACCTGCTCAGTCTAAAAGCTTGATCCGATTTCCCTCATCCTAAAATGATGACTCCAACATGCAATCCCCCAACACCTTCCCCTGCCCAATGGTGCCACCACCGTGCTGCATGCTCCTGGTCATATCTTCCCTTCCTCTCACCATTGACGTCTCAATAACAATAGAGCCTCTCCTCTTCAACCGTGCTTTATATTCCTTCACATTCAGATGACACCCTTAGCAACAAACTTTCTCCCTCCATGGATAAAGGAGAGGGAGCGACACTCAGCTGAGTCCCACGCTGCTGCCTAGCATGCGTCATTAGAGTTACTCTGCACCTGACATAAGAGGAAACAGGCTCTCAAAGAACGCCAATGGCTTAATGGGTTACTTAATCCAGTCTTCTTTCCAGCCCACAAGCCCATCACAGCAAGGCCTTGGAATTCCCCTGTGGAAACCATGAGGCTGTGATGGTGGAGGCAGAGTTTCGATGTCCCCTTCCCCCGGGGCATTCTGGGACCTACTCCGGACTGCACCTGCTCCTCTGCTGCCCCCTGGAGCACTGTGGCATCTTCCTGTGTTCCCCAGGCTCTCCCCACCTCTCTGCTCACAGGCTTGCCTCTTCCTCTGCTATGCCCTACAAGCGACCCCCAACCCAGCTCTGTCCAAGTGCCCTGGCTTTCCAGTTGCAGTAGTGTCTCCATTGGGAATCTGTTCACAGCCACAGAGGTGCTTTATCTTCTCAGGAGACTCTGAAGTTGCTGGATTTAGCAGCCATGACTCCTCCCAGACCGGAAGGGGAATGCTTCCAGCTGTTCTTCAACCCAGCCTGGAGAGGTGTGGAGCAGAGGAAGGGATAACTGAATTGAGTCTGAAAGAGATCATGGGAGCAGGACTTTCCAGACAGCAGAAATTGGGGTGACCCTGGTCTGTTGGGTAAACATGATCCGCACGGTATGGAAATGGACAAGGCAAGAACGTGTCCAGAGGAAACGCCACCCTGCTGGCTCAGGAGAAGGTACAAGAGGATTGAGTCCCATAACCAGGGGAGAAAGTGACCGTGAATGAGCATGGAGACCTGCTGACAAACCACCCATAAGGGGCACTGTGGTGACAGGGACACAGTCCAGTGTCTGTGTGCCATTGCATGATGGCCTTGACCTTGGTGGGCCAAGAGAAGGTAGTGGGTCAGCTTGGGTGGTTACAGGAGGGGTCCTGTGGCCCTAGAAAGGGCAGACCAGGCTTCCAAGCCTGTGCCCCAACATCAACCATGGCAAGACACATGGTGGCCTACACCACCAACCTGCTCCTCCCTTTGGTGCCCCAGATGGTGCCGTCAGCCAATTCTGGGAGGCCCAGGACCTCCAATCACGCAGAAGAGCCAACACCAGAACAAATGAGTGTGGGGTGTGGAGGGTGAAGCAGGAGGCGAGGGGATGGAGCAGCAGGCAGATCTAGAGCACAAGTTGAACCCCCTCCACTCTCCTCCTTCCAGGCCTCATCCCACGGGATGCCTAAATAAAAAAAAAAAAATGGGACTATTCCAAAGGACATGGGAGCTGACTCAAAGAGCTCCTACTGGCCATAAATGAAACCGTAAGAGCAATAAAGTGAATATGTTAGGATTGGGTTATAATTCGAAGATAAAATATTCATGAACCTGTATTAATATAAATTAAGATTCAACAACTAAGTGACCGGGAGAGTTGATATAAAGCTCCCTTAGAGAAGAATTCCAGATCACTTGGTAGATGCTTCCAACTCCAGGAAGTGAAAATTAATATCCCCTCAATCCTGAGTGTGGGCAGTGCCTAATGACTTGCTTCCATAGAGTAGAATATTTGTTTCCACAAATACAAAAATGTAAATTCACTTTGGAGAAACCTGCCAGGCACGACCTTGGCCAGGAGAACAAGATTAACATCACCAGTGGTGGGTAACGTGCATGGCATACAAACATGACTTCATGGGGGAGAACAGGTCTCCTTTGCAGTCTTCTCCCCTAAACCCACGAACCCAATCTAACCAGGAGACACACACACCAGCAAAAGACAACTTAAGGGACCTTACAAAATATGATTCAAGATTGCCAAGGTCATGAATAGCAAAGAGAGAGAAGCCATCAAGACCACAGGAGAAATAATGGCACACAAAGACCAAATACATAATGTGCTGTCCTGGATGGGATCATTTTAACTGGGCAGAAGTAGAGAAATCCATATAAACTATGGCGTTCAGTTAATAATCCGACACCAATGTTGGATTTTAGCCAAAGGCAAATGTACCACAGCAATGTAAAAACATTAACAACAGAGGAAAGTAGAAACTTGGTACTATCTGTGTAATTTTCAACAAATATAAATTATTGTAGAAGAAAATGTTTACTTAAACAAATCATGGCAGAAAGACAGACTCTTTGATTAATGTTTCTGTAAAAAGTGTTTATCTGTATGGGTTCAATGGCAATCTCCAAAATAAATTCCAAATGGATAAAAGACACACATGTGAAAATCAACACTGTATAATTTCTAAAATAAACTCTATGACCTGGCATTAAAGATGATGTTTTCTAAGAGCGTACAAACAGAACAACCCCCAAAAGGAATAACTTATCAAGTTAACTATATTAGTATTAGAATCTTCTCACAATAAAGATGCTATAAATAAAATTAAATGAAAGCCACGGGGTAGAAGAAAAGTTTAGCACACAGGTAACGTATAAATGTAAGATGAATAGAATGCAATCTTTAAAAAGAACAAAAATCGTATAGGATATGTGTCAAAGAAGCCCAAATAGAAATAAGCTTATGAAAACATGCTTGGCCTCCTCTGTAATCAGAAAAATCCAAATTAATATAGTCACTAGATAGCATATGATATCCATCAGTTTTTCAAAATGAAAAGTGTGAAATTAAACATTCATAACATTGATAGACAATGTGTACTCTCAGACACAGCTACTGACAATGTAAATTTGCAAAACCACATTAGAGAGTAATTTGCAAATGTCTAATAAAATTAAGCAGGCCCATACCAATGAGCCAGCAATTCTAGCACAAAGTTCTAGAAACAGTGTGTGACAAAAGATGTTAATGAAGATAGCACCAACAAACCCAGGGAAGTTAAAGGAAAATTTTTGGAGGAGCAGAGCACACTGGGTTTGGGGTAAGGGAGGATGTGAAGTTTCAAAAAGAACTGAAGGAGTGAGTGTTTG